ACCCCTAATCATATTGTGTTTACAGCAGATCTGAATCGAAGTAATCAGTCTCCAACTAATGAGGCAGTAATCTCCTCACGAAGGGCTTTCATTTCACTCGCACCTTCTCCATCTTTCGTGCAAATTGAAGCATTGTCGTTCTCCTCTGTTGGTAGAGATTGACCAATGCGGTATTCATAGGCTTCGACAGGTACTTCGTCATCATTGACCTCAACACGCTCGAAGTCAACATCAGCTCGAGTTGGATGCCGTCGAATATAGTTAGTGAGGGCCATAGTGGCTAACACTACCTGCACCTGTTTTGGAAATGGATAAGGTGGCATATCTCGTAGTATTACCCATTTCTTCTTCCAAACTCCAAAAGTCCTCTCAATAACGCCTCGTAAGGATGAATGTCTTCTATTAAAGACCTCTTTTCTGTTTCTCGTACGATTGCTGGCTCTCTGAAAATCTGGAAGATGATACCTTGTGTCAGGATAGGGTTTAAGGTACCCCCTCTGCATTGGGTAGCCAGCATCGACCAAATAGTACTTCCCTGAATAATTAAAAACTTTAGGGGAGCACACAAAAAAAAATCTACATTGTACTTCGGATTTCTCGTTGCAATTTTGAAGATTCTACTATCATGTGCGCTGCCCTCCCATCCAGCCATTGCAAATGTGAAACACATGTTGAAATCACAAACTGCCATGATATTTTGAGTTGTGCTCCCGGAACGGCCGATAAATGCAACTTTCTCGTTTTCCGGTACCCTGGCATGAACATGCGTTCCATCGATTGCGCCAATGCAACCCTTCACAAATAAAGTTAAATCATTTCAATATGCAACACATTAATACTGATTTAAATTATGAACGTGTACCTTGAAATGTGGCATGTATCGGGCATCGTTGCGAATCTGTGCTGGCATTCTGACAAACGTTGGATCTTCGGGTTTTATTATAGCTTGCGCTAAACTGACGAGGGAAGTCAAACCCACTGAGAAATACCTGCTTATTGTTTCAGATGAGTGTTGGAATCGTTCCATGGCTCCC